GGACAACCAAATATATTTTTACTAAAGATTTATGATGTTCTTTATAGCTTTGAAACTTCTGCAACATTACAAAGCATTCGGGTTAGCAGATTGAAAATTAAATTGCAAAATGTTGTTTTATAATTTTGATTTTTTTTCCAAAAATCTGGACGTTTCGGGTAAAAACTCAATTCGGAGTTGTAAACTACATGTGTGGAACTTTGTTATTTTATACAATTTAAAACCCATTTACTATGTACAATGTTGAAGTGACGTCATCGCATTAGTGTTGGGGATGATTAGAGACATTTTCGTTAGCGTTTTACCATCTACATTATATTCCTAAAATAAATACAAAAATTGACAACAATCGGCCCAGTACTTTCGGAGATTATCTGTCTAATAAAAATTCGTGACGGCAGACAGACGGACAGACGGACCGACGGACAGACAGACAGACGGAAACGGGGGACCTATTTCTTCATCCTGTAGGGTTAATGAACGGTCGAGAAAACGTAAAAGTAGCGAGTCGGCCGATGGACTCGATAACAATATTCCTTCGCTTACGCTCGGGAAGTAAAAATTAAGTAGAATTTTTGTAAATTTAATTTTTTTGGGTTTTTTTTGTTCTCTGTCTCTGGATTTTGGTTGATGTATTGGATTATTAAGTTTCCGATGAATATCTGAGCCTGATATTGCATTGTTGTGTAATGACCAGAAATTTTATATTAAGATATTTCGTGTATTGACAAATATACAGACATGTACATATTAGAAGAATACAAATACAGTTTACAATGTCTGGTGGTTGTAATCTTGTGCTTAGTAACAGAACAAATAAATATCTCATACAGATCTAATTGTGATTATGCTACTATTGCAGTGAAACCTAAGTGCTTAGCAATATGAAAAAAAACTATTTTTACTAGACGCTTAACTGACTGGTTGATTATAATTTTTAACTACTAATTGCCAACCAACGAGTTTTCAGATTCAGCAACATGGAACTTGTACCATAAATTTGCATTCCAAGCTAAAAAGACAAACACTGTAAAAAATATAGGTAAATTTACCTAAGGCTTCTGTAAACTTTACACCTTGAATAGGAGTGAAATTACCGTATTTTTGATGTAAATGCAAATTTCCATGTTATTTTAGGGAATTTTTTGCTTTTAAAAAAAATTTACCCTTATAGAGTTTAATTTCATTCTTTATGGTTAAATTTTCCTTTAATAAGTGGTAAAATTATATCTTAGTTTTAGATTTCCACAACGGCAAAAAAATTTACACTCAATAATGTATTATGTCAATTAGCATCTGAAAAATTATATATTGTATGGAGTGTAATATTCCCAGATTAATGTGAATTTTTGTATTTAGAGGCAAAATCGGACGTTTGTGGACACACCTACTATTCAATCAATAATTATTTATTATTATTAATTAGTAAGTATACTGATCACTGATCAGAATCATAATGAACGTATAAACTGTTGTGTGCGCTATAATGTAAATTTCTATTCGTAGTATTATTGGTATTTAAAATTTTGCCCACGGCCCAGCTTGTAAACTACATACTCCCTCGGTGATTGCATAATGTGCCCTTCTTCGCGTGCAGACAATAAGTCTTTTTTTGATAATTATTCGGAGTATTATTTTAATTTGATATGATCTACGAGTGTTTTAAGTTTTCTGCAGTTGGGGGTTAAACGGAAACCACTATAAGTCACTATAAGTAACTTTGAGAAAACCTTGAGAAAACGTAGGCACAATTAACACGTGTTGTCTGATTAACACAGGGCAAGCGCAAGAGAGCCAATAAGCGAATAGCCGATACCCCATGTAAGCAGCTTTGGTTGAACGGAAACGGTTTTGGTGTTTTTTAACCGTTGTTTATTTATGTGATGTGATTTGGATCATTTGGGACCTTCAAGCAATAAAGGTAAGTGTCTGATTAGCAAGTGGAGTGATCAGTGATCATTCATTGATAGTAATCTTCTCAAAAGCAGTTGTTGCTTGCCTCGTGAATTCTAACCTTACTTTTAAGCGTGCAAAAAGTATTTTATTGTTATTTAAACGCATATTACTATTATTACTTGAAACTGCAGTTTAGGAGATATGCCCTTTTATTACTTAGATACAGATTAGTACAAATATATGTATAAATTTACCATTATCCATTATAAATGCATTTATCACGTAGGCAACACATTTAATGCCCACGTGACGATTGTAAAAGTACAATTTTATACAGCTTCAGCTATTAAAGTTTTATTTTACACTTCTGTAGCTTATCATTAATTTTGTTATGCCTGAAGAAAATATAACAGATAATAAATAAACCACATATAGCTTGTATTTGTCTAGTAGTGAACAGCAATGTCAACAATCGATTGTTCCTAATTAAAATCTTTTTTGATTTTCAGACAGAGAAATGTATGAATGCACTATCTGCAAAGTGAAATTACGTGACCTTACAGCATACAATTCTCATCAATACAGCCATAGAAATTTTAGAAATATTCGATTTTACTGCAAATACCCAAACTGTCTCCATGAATATACCAAATATAAAAGTTTTAAAATGCATTTACATCTTAAACACTCAAATCCGAAAAAAAATCGTACCGATAAGACACATTTCTGCAATGTTAATAACTGTAATTACATAACGAACATCATCATCTGGTTTCTCATATGTATAAACACATTAAAATAGAACAAAGCATAACTTGCCCTTTTGAACAATGTACTACCAGTTGTGCCTTCCAGTCTGTAGCGAGTTTTAAATCACACTTCTATCGGCATCATTACAAGAAACTTAAAAATGAAACTTCTATTAGTGATCATGTACAGAACATACAACCTGATCCACAGTACAATTTTGAGAGTCTTCGTGATAATCTTTCGGGTAACGATAGTCAAGTATTAGATTTTATCTCTTCCAATAACTCAATAAATTTACACTCTATGTACTTGAAATCTTTGGCTTCGACATATTTGATATTGCAAGCTAAATTTTTCCTATCAGATGCTGCACTACAGGCAATTATTGACGGAATTTCTGATTTAAACCAAATTAGTTTGAATAATATTGATCACATACTGCAACAAAATGGTCAGTCAAATATTGCAAAGATTATGCGTGACCAAAATTTGTTTGAAATAGCTCATCGACCTTCCAATGGGATATTGAGATCACCGTTCATATGAAAACAATACTACCGAAATAATTTTAACTTTGTTGCGCCCATGGACGTTTATTTTAAAGAACCGTGTAATGATAAAAAGTTATTTTTTTCGTATGTATCTATCATAGATACCATTAAAGTTCTAATCGGCAATCGTGATTTGTATGAACAGTGCTTCACACAGACTAGATCAAAGGGAGGACTGTTTACGGATTTTTGTAGTGGGGAATGTTACAAAACGAACTCTTTTTTTATTAACAATCCTAATGGTTTACAAATCATACTGTATCAAGATTCTTTTGAGGTGTGTAATCCGTTAGGATCTTCACGAAAAATACATAAAATCGTTGGCATATACATGACTTTAGGCAACATTCCCCCCTATAACAGATCTAAAGTTGATCAGATCCAATTAGTAGCCCTGTGTCTAGATTCACATGTAAAAAAATTTGGTTTTGAAAAAATTTTTAACACCATTATGCATGACATAATTCACTTAGAAACTAAAGGTGTTCAAATTAATGACGAAGTTGTAAAGGGTACATTAGTAGCTGTTGCTGGGGATAATTTAGGGAGCCACCAAATTGGTGGGTTTACTGAAAATTTCAGTACAAGCAATCATCTTTGTCGTTACTGTTATGCAAACAAAAATCAGTTAAACAAAAGAGACTCTATTACATATCGAACTATTTCGTCATATGAAGATGATGTTACAATTAGTACAATGTTAGGAGAGATTACTAATGGAGTTAAATGTAACTCAGTATTAAACCAGTCTGAATATTTTCACGTATGTTCACCGGGTTTGCCACCATGTTTAGCTCACGATAGGGTAAATGTGTACAAGAGTGCGAATATGTATAAGAGTACGCACTGATGATTTCTGCTTATTAGTGCCATCTGGGTAAGATGAAGTTATACCATTCAGAATTTAATGCTAAACCTGAGATAAAGGTGCAAAAGTGACCTGAATATAGTTTATAGTTTGGTCGTACTGACGATTTTATGTTCACACGTTGTGTGGATGTAATTTTTACCGTTCATAGTTTTAGTTTTTTGTAAGGTACGTACCAGTTCTTTTATTTTACAGTAATAATTGTCATTAGTTGTAACTTTTAAGGTGTCGTTATACACTAACAGTTTTACACTTTCTGTCAATCAAAAGCTTTTAACTTTGAAAACATTAGGTTATGTACAAATGTACAAGAGTGCGCAGCGAGGTATTGTATAAGAGTGCGCATTGCTTGCAATACGTAGTCTAATAGTCTTGGAGATACATATCATACGATACTGCATTATTTAACTCTACTACTTTGTACTGCTTCTCAAGTTGTGTGGTGGTGGTTATGGTGATTTTTTTTTTATTTTTACTTCCTGAGCGTGTTGTAATCGAGTCCGTCGACCGACTCTTTATTTTTACGTTTTCTCGTCTTTTCAAGACCCCTAGAGTACGAAGAAATAGGTCCCCCGTTTTATGTGTAGTCTGTAGTCACTTATTCCTATTTATTTTCACCTTAGAAACAAATATTTTTTCATAAAATGTAATGCGTACTCATAAGCGTTGAAATGCGCACTCTTGTGCAATGAACTGTCTAAGAGCGCGCATTTACACATCTTGACAAAAATTGAAATTACTCTTAAAATATAGTGGTGTTGGGACGTACAATTAAATATATCTGATCTCTAAACATGTATATAACGAACCTATATCATAAAATTTGTCTATCCAAAAAAATTAAAAAGTTGTTGACAGTTTTCCACTAAGTGCGTACTCTTGTACACATTTACCCTATTTATGAAGGCATCCTACAGTACGATTTCATGCTTTGCATTAATGAACTGATTGCAAAAAAATATTTCACTCTTGACATGTTGAACGAAAAAATCCAGACAGTACGTTTCAATAGTGAAGTTCAATATGAGAACGTTCCTTTAATTAAAAAAGGAGAAAAATTAGTTGGCAGTGCTAGCGAGAATTTAAGATTATTGTTGGTTATACCTTTTGCACTTTATGATATGGAAATCGATAATCCATGTTGGGAAATGCTTTTGTTGTTACGAGAAATAAACAGCATTTTACTTTCTGTAAACATATCTATTGGTCAAGTTGCTTATTTAAAAATTCTAATCAGTGAATATATTGATGCTAGAGTCAATTTATTTCCGCAAATCCCATTAAGACCAAAACATCATTACTTTTCTCATTATTCATATCTAATAAAAAAATTTGGTCCTTTGAAGCATCTTTGGACACTTCGCTTCGAAAGTAAACACCGCTATTTTAAAAGTATCTTGAAGCATTCTCCAAACTTTAAAAACATACTTCATACTTTATCAGAAAAGCATCAGTTTCTTCAAGCTCTTCACGCTTCTTCTAGTGTTCTATTTTTGGATAAAGTTTCTTGTAACGATGCAATTGAGTTTTCTTGTCAAAGTTCCGACCAAGACATGTTGTCGTATGTAGCTAGTCATTGTACGTTTCAGGGAAAAAAATTCATTAGTAAAAAATCTGTTTTTAGAGGAATAACTTATTCAGCTGGAATGTATGTATGTTGTGAAAAAAATCGTTATGATGATTTCGTTTAATGTTTGGTAAGATATGTGGTAGTCAATGAATGTTATGATGACTTATTTTTTGTTGGAAATATGGTCGAAATTTTCCAAAATAAACCCAAAGGTCTTTTTGAAAGTGGCGTAGAAACACCTACGAAGTTGATTGGCTGTCATTTTAACAATTTATTAACACATGAACCAATGATGGTAAAAGTTAGAAACGATAAGATTATATTTTCTTTTAAATCTGCTCCTTTTGAGGAGCTGTAAGGCGACACTACCTATGCTACCAAATATTAGAACACATGCAACACTAATATTTTCGTCTTACGTTGTTGAAACTTGTTTTACGGCTGCTTGATTGTATTGCAAAAATCATATATTTTTCGTTGGTCATGAATTGATAAAATATTTAAGTTTTTTTTAATATGTAATAATTTGTAAAGTGTATAAAATAAATTCATGTTTACCAACCTACTATGATATAACCATATAATCTTTTCTCACACCCGGAGGAATACAAAATCAGGTACCCACTGTACAACATGTAATTAGTGAGTGGTTACCAATCTTAGTGTCATGGCTACGTAAATTTTTTATATTTCAGGTTCTTCACGATGGTTTTACGTTTCAAGATTTGGAATTTGACTCGAACTTTAAAATTGTTTGTTGCAGTAGAAGAGACAAAGGGGAACATACGTGATGCATTAATTGCCAAAGGTTAACCTTTAAACCTAAATAAAATGTATGTTATCTAAAAATGTATTTGTGTATATATAGCTTCCGAGAAGATGAAAATCCATGGTACGTCTCTTGTCCTAGAATCTGATGGTACAGAGATTGAAGACGACGACACATTAATGGATATTAAAAAAGAAACATTAATGTTATTACAAGATAATGAAATCTGGTATGATGGACCTTCCGTATCATTAGAGCCAGTTCACTCCTTTGCAAGCGCTGACACCTTGTCCGTTAATGACTCATCTTTGAGTAGTATTTCAAGAGCATCAACTCCCGATACCGAAAGATTATCTGAAAACACATGGGAAGAGTTTGAAATACCATGGTCCAGAATGAGTTCGTTTGTCATAAAAGATTGTGAAGCGGGGCTAAGGCATAAATCTACTATTACTGAGGTCATTCATTGTATTACTAATGCCTTAAAAGAGATCAGTTCAAATGTTCCGTCAAAAGGTCTTAAAAATACAGCGAAAAAGGTGGTTTTAAAGTATCCCAAAACCTTTCAAGATATTGACGAAGATGGTCATGTTTACGGCGATGGATCTCACTCGATTTTTTCCAAATTAAGAGAACATTTTAAATATGTAAACAGACGCAGCTCTGCTGAGAGGTCTGATGCACCCTCTCCAATTTCACTTAAGAAAAGAAAGAAAATGTTGGCTTCTAAAGCAGGTTGTTCTAATTGGCAACCACATGTTGAAGAACACCCAGTGGACGTTACGGAAAATATTAAAGAGCAGTTAAAAACAATTGATATTAAGTATGTGGCATTAGAGCCAGAGATTCTGGACTTACTCGAAAAGAGCTACCTAGCTCAAAGACTTTTTTTAAATTCGGCTGAACCACCTGCTTTGAAAACTATAAGACAAGAATGGCCAGTTCTTTTGTGTCCTGCTGGGATTTTCTGGCATTACGAAAAATTAATGTCTCAAAATATCAATGTGCTTTATGAGGCTTTAATTACTAAGTCAGAAAAAATTTTAAAATTCGGCAGGAAGAAAAATTACATAAATGATGAATCCCTCACTGATGAAAATGACAAATTCATTAAAGTCATGGTTGTACTTTGTATGTTCTTTTCTGAACCTCCAAATGCCTTATACTGCATAGTACACGTGAGTATTTTTTTAAAGTCTAGTCCGCTCTTATAATAATTTTCTTTAGGACGAGTCTGACATAGGAAAAGGCATGAACGCTCCCAGTATTATAGGCTTTCATAAAGGTTTGGTTTTTTGTATTTTTGTTGTTTAATATTTTGAAATTTATTTCTTAGAAGGAAGCACTGTTTACCATGTCGTGATGGAAAATGAAGTTCTTAATGGGGGTTCTTGTTGTTTTAAAGACGCATTGTTGCAGTTGTTTGCTATATATTATAACTTTAATTTAGAATACCCAAAACAAACTTCAAATACACTAGAATTTATTCAACGATACATGATGAAAATCCATCCCGACGTTGGAACCAAGAATAAGAAGACTGCTTCTAAAATGAAGATCATTTCGTTGATTAACAAGTTGCGCGATGAATAAAAAAAGCCGTAGTAATATGGCAAGAGTTTTTTTTTTTTGTAATTTTTCGAAGTTATTACTATTTTTCATTTATAAGAGAGTTTATATTATTTTTTTAATAAAAATAAAAAATATGTTAAAAAATGTAGTGTGTACTCTTCCTAACTGCACTCCACCAAAATATGGATAACTTCTAAGGTTAAAAAAAAAACTTTGACTTACGCTCTTTAAGTCAAATATATCTTGTTTTTTTACTATCTTTGCAGTGCCTAGTGTTCAAAGTGTAGACCACTTATTATTTGCAACTCATTTTAATTCATACACTCAAACTTTTGCAGTTTTTTAAAGCCACGCTCAAGAGGTACCTGAAGAGATCCAATTATTAACCTGCAGTACTAACAAGAAAAACTGTTATGGTAAATATATAAAAAAGAATATTAATGAAATGAGTTTATGAAAATGCGCGTAAGTATACCTACTTGTAAACCTCTATGTTGAAAAACTATTCACAAAACTAATAGTTTTAAGGTAATGAATACTCTCCTCGCGACACAAAACAATTTTAGATGCGAGCTGTCGAGGTCCTACCAAATCAATGGTTATAAAGTTATAGGAACAGGTATTTTTTCAGTGATGGCGTAAGTTTAATGAAAAAAGAAATACAAATGGAAAAAAATAGGAGGCAACTTTTCTTTTTCTATTATTTGTGTAACTTTACTTACTGTGAAAATTTTACCTAGCGATGTAGAAAATGGGCACAATCGATCGGTAAAAGTCACTAATGCAATTACAAATGAATTTCAATTTTAACTCTTCGTGATGTAACATTGCATTTGTAGGGTAAAATTCACCAACGCATTTACATGCAGCGATGTAATAATACAATGGTTGGGTAAAATTCACCATCGTAATTACATAAAAAATGTAATTACTGTGGTGAATTTTACCCAACCATTGTATTATTACATCTCTGCATGTAAATGCGTTGGTGAATTTTACCCATGTGAATTTAATATTACCTTCCAAAAAAGTAATATTCACGCAATAGGTAAAATTACAACAGTAGTGTAAGTTTACATTAACAATAGGAGTAGAAAAGTTGCCTCCTATTTTTGATGTAATTTTCCCCAAAAATTTTTTACAGTGAATAGCTGAACCCAAACCACCACTCTATAAGTCAATAAAATCATGTACATCTTACTGTTGTCCAGGTTTTCGTGAGAAGAACACCTGACGCACAGGCGATTATAATAAAATAACATGGAACTTGTACCATAAATTTGCATTCCAAGCTAAAAAGACAAATAGCTGAACCCAAACCACCACTCTATAAGTCAATAAAATCATGTACATCTTACTGTTGTCCAGGTTTTCGTGAGAAGAACACCTGACGCACAGGCGATTATAATAAAATAACAATGAAATAACTAAAATAAACATTTTTTGGCGATTTACTTACCATAACTGCTAGTGCCAATTTTGACTTGAATTTCAGCTTCTTCCAATCTAAAGTCACTATTAACTTGTGTTCATAGTCTTCCACACCCCGGCAGAGCGGATTTTTAAAATCTTATAAAGAACTAGTTACTATTAATGTGCTCTGTGCCCTAAGACTACTCGTAGCATTTTATGCTATATATGATATTTCTTTAAATTACTTTCTTTCCGCATTTGCAAGACGTAAAACTACAGATAACATCGAGTAAATGACTTTCGCAATCTAGGAAGACAATTACAATTACAGATAATTATATTTCTAATGATAAATAGTTACAACATACTCTAATTCCAAGTTCATAATTTAGCGAAATCGTTTCGGTAAATCGAATTTTAAAAGGTCTCGTCATCATTATCGTCAAAAATGTTAAATAAAGTCGTCTGTTTTCTTCATTCAGTATGTACCAAGCATTCGAAGACCATTTAAAACAGGTGTTCTCGAGCTAAAGTAGTTACATTAGGTTATAGCCAAATCTTCTTTTGGTCTATAGCTTACCAGCTCTTCTGATTTTTGACCGGAAATAATTACGGCTGTAAAAGTGGACAAACCTGCCAACACAACCGAGCTTATCTGAAGATACTCATTTATTCCGAAATCGAAATTCAGTATCATGAGAAAAAGCAGTAGCTGGCTCATACCTAGAAATCCTCCACACACAGCGAATAGAAGTACATATGTGCTCATTTTTTTGTTAAGATCTGTAGCTATTCTGAAACAGTGAAACAGCTTAAGGTAAAGCTTATACAAAACTGAAGTAGCTACTCATGAAGTCTGCTGGTTCTTTTAATAACAGAAATCATTCCCCGTTTCACGTCTTCTTGAAATTCTTCACAATGTCGGAGTTTATACTCTTTTTTCGAGTTTAAGTTGTCGACATGCAGTAGTAGCTTTTTCATACTTACAATATAAATCTGTATTCTCATGTGACAAGTTGTGTAAACAACTTGATTACAGCCGGCTGTCATTGCTAAAGCCACTAATGGATAACTCAATTTATATATGAAGAAAAGTTCCTTCTTCCTGTTTGGCGCATAATCCTGCATAATATTTAGGGGAAAACATACTTGTTGGATGTTTTCCACGGGAAACATGTACATCACGGCAGCGAACAGTGCGCATATTATATTGACGACAGTGTAAGTGTTCACAGCTTTAATTTCACATTTAATGAATCTGTCAGTTTTTTCGTCTACATTGTGATGTTTCCAAAGTTGAACAGCGTTTAAAGCATCAACATTTAAGTGAGTGGCAAAAATAGTTTGCGCTAGTGTTAATATTACCTAAGAATTCAAAATTTAAATTTCAATTTTAAACGTTTCTTGGGTATGTTTACGTAAAACGCTGCAGAGTAGTAGGGTGCGTATCGAATAAAATATTTTGCTTCAAATACGGTAAGAAAGAGATATGTTTGAATTAATATCAGCACTACATGTATCACGAGCACCAACAGATTTAGTATCCTTACAGACTTTAGTTGAAAAAAATCTATACAGATCAGTCGTAGTAGCCAAAGTTTATCATCTGGAAAAAGATATTTAATACAAAGTGGTTATAATTTTTTTTTTTTTTTTTAGAAAAAAATGGTAAACATTTATCGTTAATATACGATGACATTACCTTTCGGATAGGATAGTGGTTCAAACTCCATTACGTGCAAAAGAGGTAATTTTTAAAAATTAAATTTTATTTCAACGACTTACAGCTTACTAAACCGAATTTAATCTGTCTATAGCTTTCTAATATTAGGTATATTATTTTTCAAAATGGGCGCGAAGGTCAAGGACACGCAAAACCCAAAAATTTACTCTTAAATGTGTAGTTTAGTATTTTTTACACCTCCTTATTTTACTTTATCGACAATGCAATAGTGACTGATCTGTCACTTGAGACGCCAAGAACCGCATTAATTTTGAATCGTTTCTATGAGCGCGTTCTATCGCAATATTTATGATAGATTATGTTCTTACGGAGTGGGGAAGTTAGAAGAACAATTTAAAAGCACCCAGCAGAGATCCTAAAGGAACAGATTTATAAATATGCCCAGGATAAATGGTATGGCAGTGACGAGAGCAAGAGGAATTATCCACCTCAATATTCCTATCACTGTCAGTATAATCCAATTGAACTGGCGTGGGGACAGTGTAAACTATATTACAATAAACATATTCGGGAACACGGTGGTGCTATTGGTGTTGTACAGTCCTTATGGCGGGAGGCTCTTGCTACAGTAGGTGCAGACAAATGGCAAAATTTTATTAGACATTGTGAACGGCTGATCAGGGATGATTGGAAGCGTTTAATGGGTAATGCACCATATGAAGACATACCCCCAATCATAATTTCTCTCGATTCTGATTCTGGATCAGAATGTTTTTCTAATAACTTGTCAGCTTGTCACTTTTTCATTTGGCATTTAATGTCAACAACAATCAGCATTAAGCCCTCAATGCAAACGGCTCTAAAGTCCTTGCTATGTACAGCAGCAGTGTTGAAACATGAGAGTGAAAGCAATGTAAATTCTGTGTTTTCTGTTATATAACATACTATTTAGTTACATTTTCTTTTGTTTACAACATTATAGACGAGTACAACACATATGTACAACAAAACGTGTTGTTTACTGTAACGTCCGCGACCCTACAGTTTTGCGAGGGTTGTGATCTCCGCTAACTACACTGGTAAGTTGTCGACCTTGAAATTTGCTTAAATTTTGAAAAATAATATATAATATGCGTTATTATAGACGAATCAAGACGAATATAAATTATGTATTTTAATTTGTCGAACTTGTTATCGAAGGTCAGTCGTAAGCGAAGTTTAATGAAACAAGTTACTGAGATAATTATGTCAAAATTAGTAAGGTTACGAGTTTTATATTAAAAGACGATTATTTCGACGGAGAAACAAAAAAAAAGGTTTCTCTCCATAAAACATCTTCTATACAGAAATTCACGTGATGAAACATTTAAGAATAGTATATTTCATACCGGGTGTTAAAAGTAAGTGCAGTTAGACGAATGAGACGAAGCCGAGTTCGGATAAGAAGCACGAGCATGATCCTCACTTTCACTACGAGTTGTGAACACTGTTTTTCCTAGGATTATAAACTTTTTCTGTAACAGTTTATTGCAATTTGTCACCATGCCATTAACTGTCATATTTATTATCAAATTGGACGTTCTCCGTAAACGATGATTTCATGTCTTTGATTTGGTGTTAGTCTATGAGTTGATAATTTTGGGTCTGTGCTACTTCCACAATACTTGCAGGGGTACACTGCAACAATGAATGCCGATATCCATGTTATTTCGCATTTTCTAACACTGAAACAAAAAAATGTGCTGCGTCTGATGACAACCCTTGAAAGTTTTAAAAGCTAGCCTACTATTCTTATGAGCGCGTATGTTATAACCAGACTTCGGCATCGCGGAAGTGGTACTCATTGCCGTCTAATCGCTAGCGCTATTGCAGTCGTGGCCTACAACTTCGGGAGTTCTTCATAACAATTACTACTTTTTCTAGGTTTTCCTCAGTTGTACGAGTTCTCCTAAATGTTAAAATGCTTTAAAAATAAAA